GATTCCTATCTTTGAAGATTGTACACTGAGAATAATGTCTCAGAAGTTCAACAAAATATTAAGCGAGTAAAACCAGATTTGTGCACTTTTTCATTTCAGGCTATTATTCTCTTTATTTCTTTATTAATTCAAAGTATTCATCAAGATTTCAGATTATCATATTTTAATTGAAAAAAAGATTAAAAAACTAAATGCAAAATCACACAGATGTTCCCACTAAACAATCTCAGGGCCTAAGCCTTTCAATGTTTTATTGAGTCTTTTAGAGCCTGTAAGAGCAGGGAGGTTTAAGGCATGCATTGGTTTCAGACTTTATCAAAACTACTTTATCAAATGAACCATGCTCTTATCTTCAGATTAATGTTAGCTTGGGAGGTGCATGAGGACTGGTAAAAGAGAAACGTCTTATCTTCGAATAGTCTTGGTCAGTTTCTGTGATTCAATTCAAAATAATATTCAAACTGAATATTTTTCTCAATAAGTTTATTTTTCTTGCTTTTAAAGACTTCTTATTCTGCTGCGATAGCCATGGGTGAAACAGGAAAAAAAGAACATTTGCGGCGAATCTACCACATCAGCAGGGACGATTTTGTTTAGTTGCAGGATTTGGATCAGGGTCAGAGATCTAGAGATAACATGCCTCCTTTTTGTTTAGGGACTGATAGGATCTGCACTTAAAACAGCGATGGAAAAAAAAAGGGTTAAGTTACTTATTGTCAGCAAACATCTTGACAGTTCCTCTAAAGGAGATCAGAGAACAGTTTTTATTTGTCATAAAACAACTGTGTGTGAACTTTAGCCCAGGTGTCATCACCCCTTCCACCTACAATGATCATAAGGTTTCATATTGAAAAAACACCAAACATATGCTAACTGGATTGATGGGTCAATCTTAAAAGGAGAAAAATCAGCAGAGTAGAGGCAGAGTGGAAAATTGACACTAAGTGTGAGGAACTGCTGAAATATTACACACACATGTTGAACGGGACGGTACAGCCTGTAATCATGAACCAAAGTGAGAGCATCATCTCACAATGACATGCTACAATAGTCCAAGAAAACCCACAAAAACTCTTCCTGGCTATTATATTTCAGCTTATAAGTTTTAATTTTAAATTCATAAAGGCTTTAGCTCAGAGGGGTTTAAACCAGGGAGTGTCTGGACTGTTCACATAAAATCCGATTACATAAGTCATCAGACATTTGAATTGAGAAAGCTTCCTGGAGGGGAAGCGAAACGTCTTCAAATCTTGGAAACCAAGTCCAGTGGATTGTTTTTAACCTTCTACAAAAGAAATAAGTCATTTCTGTCCCTTACAGTTTCTGTTTCCTACATGTAAACTGTAGGAAGAAAAAATGTGGAACGAATAGTTATTAAATGCAGGTTTATACACATTTAAAATAAACGTTATTTCTGACATTTTGAATTGAAAAGGCTTCCTGTATTGAAAGCAAAACGTCTTCAAACTTGAAAACAAAGCCCGGTGGATTGTTTTTAATTTTCTTTTTTGGAATGACAATGATCTGGATGACTGAGAATCTTCACCAGCACTTTGATCTCAATACTAAAGAATTAACAAACTGTTTCAGACTCTCCCCTCTGGTTGGAGTCCAATCAGGACCAGAACATCTAAATTTTATATTCCTCAATTGATTCATGTTAAATGCACGTTTGCTTGCCCTTTTCACAGATATATGGCAGTTTGTGTTGGTCTACCAGACCAAATAAAACAAAGTAAAGATTGTACCTTAAATGGGACATTTTCGCGGAAGCAACTCCTAGTCTGGAAAACAAAACTCAAGGTTTTCAAACTCCCACTATGCTTCAATCAATCAATGCCATCTCTCTTTGTGTGCCATCGGTACATCCGAGCATGTCAGCTGGTTTTCTTGTCAACAAAGGAAAAGGGGGAACCAGATGGAGTGTTGTTGCCACGCCCATAAAACAGAATACACAACAACAGTTCAAGAAGCGGCGGCACAGGATGAGGAAACATGAGGAGTCCAAGGACCTCTCTGACACCCAATTGTTTCCTGAGTTTTTGTGTCTGGCCTTCCGGTCCGGAAACTTTTGGGCACCCCCCAGAGGCTGGGTTTGGGTTTGAGTATCCATGTGTGCATGCACTGTTCTCTGGATGCATGTGTGTATTTTCGGTGGATGTGAGTGTGAGTAAAATTTAGAAATGAATACACAAGGAGTTCACTGGCAGGTTGCCCACAGCTTTTTTAAGAGCATGAAAGGATGAGGAATAAAGGTGTAGAGGGTTTAACAATGCCACTAGCAGCCACTCATGTTTACAGCATTAGGTTCTCAGGATACAGTGCAGTAGTGTGACCATTAAATCAATTCAATTCAGTTTATTTCTATAGCGCCAATTCAAAACAAACGTCATCTCAAGGCACTTTACAGTTCACCAGATCATCCAGTCAAATTGATTTAAAGTTTTCTATCTAAGGTAAACCAGTTGATTGCATCGACTCATTGACCCAAATGCAATCCCTCACACTAAGCATGCTGGTTGCGACCGTGGAGAGGAAAAGCTCCCTTTTAACAGGAAGAAACCTCCAGCAGAACCAGGCTCCGTGTGAGCGGCCATCTGCTGAGGCCGACTGGGGTTCAAGGAGACAGAAGCAGAGATAGAAAAAGCAGCTGTAAAAGGCGACCCCGTCCAGACAACACACAGCCAGGCAGACGAGCTCCGAGCCAGCTCCCATGTCAGAGGATGAGGAGAGCACATCCAGTTAGTCACAGTCAGAGAAACAGGACTACACTGAAAAACAGGCTGATCTCAAACATCAATAAACAAATGTGTTTTAAATCAAAAAGAGCAAGATGCTTCCTTGTGGGGTTACAAATTACAAATGTCAAATTTGAATTTTTTTGTTGTTGTTCTCTCTAAATAGATTTGCATAAAACTACATTATAAAACACAACCATCCGATTTCCTCACACGTATGTTAACAGTGGTTAGCATTTAGTATGTCTACTGAGACTCTGCACATGAGGTTGACTAACTTTTCCAAACAAGCGCATTTCAAAGTTGAAAATGAAAAAAGACAGCCATCTCTTTTAAGGAAAATCTATTCCAAACCCAATTTCCAAAAAGCTGTTTAAACCTATTTGCTTACAGTAATAGATGGTAATAGATTTTTTTTGCATACTTTGCAATTTTTTATTTAGGATATACATGTGAAGAAACTCCAGATGGTGATTCTTTGTATCTTATGATAGGTTATTCCAAAATATTCAAAGACACACATTTACACCTTTGTATGTATTTAAGAGGAACACTTGAAACATGCTGCGGTGGAAAGATGAGCTAAAAAAATAATTTTTGTTTTCTTTTTTTTTTGTTGAACTTTTATATCGGGTCACACAATGACTTTAAAAATTTTGACTGAGAAATATGTTCTTTAAATTATTTTTTAATGTTGAGCATCAATGTATCTGGGCTCACCGATCAGTGGTGGTTCTAGACAAAATATATCAGGGGGGCAACATGGGGCCGGTGTTTTTTTTTTTTTTAGAACAAAAAAATAACTAAAGAATAACACAAACAAACACAAAAAAGTGTTTAGTATCATAAATGAGCCATAAAGCCCAGGTTGACACTTGATCTGACAGATAAAAACTGCGATAATTTCTCAGGTGAAGCTACAACTGTTTGCAAGTTCTAAATAATTGTTAAAGTAAACTGTCCAGGCAAAATATTAAATTGTTCCAAGGTACAAATCAGTAGAAGTCTTATCTGTCATTGCATATGATCATTAGAAATTGATTTACTTACACCTCAAAAACAGTTCTGAACAAGTATTTTTTTATTTTTATAATTGCATCTGCCAATTGCATCAATTTTGTTATGTGTTTTCAGCACAGGGGCCATGAAAGGGGCCAGGACTAGTTCTACGTGGGTCCAGGCCCCTGTTGGCCCCTGTCTAGAACCACTTCTGTCACCCATCCATGATGTGGGAGATGTGGAGTCAACAAGTCATCTGTGTTCTACCCAGCCCAGATCACACTCACCTGGTTCAATGGCCCAGGTTGGACTCACCTGGTTTAGTGGCTGGGTGGAACACATACATGGCATGGAGATGACTTGTTGACTCCACATCTCCCAGGGCCAACTGGCTGGTGCCTATCTGCAGCATTGTATTGGCAAAAGGTGCGGCAAACCATGGATGGGTCACCAGTCCATTACAGGACAATTTTAGCTCAGTTAAAAAAAAAAAAAAAAAAAAAAAAACGACTAACAATATAAACATTTTATCTAATTTGTTTTATATCCATTTATAAAAAGCATTTAACCAGAGCAAAGAGGGAACATATCGGAAATATCATTTATTTGCACAAATTTGACGAATAAAGCCTATTTTGGAAGGAAATAAAAAGTGATGGAATTACAATTCTTCGTGAATCCAGCGCCCTCTAGCGGTGCAAGAGGAGGCATTGCAGGGTTTTTTAGTTTATACAGATCTGCGAGTTTAATACTTTACCTGAGCCAATTATTATAATCTTAGTAAAGTAAAAAATAAATGAACACTTTAAGGATGACTTTAAATCTAAGTGTTCATACAATAAGCAGTTAACCCAAAAGTTTAGATTTACTAGTATAGGGTTTGAAAAATGACAAGAAAATTCAGACTTAAAAAAAAAAAAGTTCGATTAATTAGAATAGGGACAAGTATGTTTCGTGATCTTGTGTTACACACTACAACATTTTAACAAATGATAATTCTCCCCCCTTAGATGTGTCTTCACAATAAAACAAAAAATACAATACCACACAAAATAAAAGGCACAATAAGCAAAATCAACAGATAATCGGTGATCACATCCCTGAATAAAAAGTTTTTGTTTTTTTTATGTTTAAAAAAGACGCAGGTTATTAAACCTGCGGTTTACTCGAACAGCTTTTGTGTTTGACATGAAATTTAAAGCCAGTGGACTTTTATTGTGAAAGGCCGTGAACCGCTTCAACCCGGAAACAGAAAAACGTTGTTATGCTAATGATGTGTCATCAACACATTTGGGTGGAAGCTGCAGATTATGGGCCAAATAAACTCAGTGGACAGTTATTAATAGTTGTCTAAAGGATATTACAAGTTAAATAAGAAGCATTGGTTGGCTAGTAGATTGTAATAAACTTAAACACGGAGACGGAAGTGGACACAAGCAGCGCTGGTGTCTTCTGGACAGTTAGCAAGGAAGCTAACTAACTATTCATCGACTCTTCCTCGGTTCCTGACAGGAGAGGAGAGGAGAGGGATGTCCTGCAGCTTGTTTGAGTTTTGTCGGCTCCAAGAGCTCAGAACAGTCCGAGACTTCTTATTCCAGAACCAGAGTAAAGAGTCCCTGGAGGAGAAGAATCAAACAGGTGATTTTTACCTGAGCTAAACGTTGTAGAAGATAGCCCTGTTGGCGTCAAGCTGCTACACTTCATTAAATAACGAGATGATGAGTCTGACACGATCCACAAGAAAAATTCAGCCGGATTAAATCGATGAATAAGTTTGTTTCTTTATAAACTATATTATCTGAGATACTAGCCCCCTACTTGAGTCATCCATCCAGATGTTTCTATGTTTGACAAAGCCAAACAAAGGCGGTTCTAGAGAGGGGCCAACAGGGGCCAGTGCCCCTGTAGATCATGTCCTTGCTCCTGTTATGGCCCCTGTACTGAAGACATAATAATCAAAGAAATTCTAATGATGATATGTAATGTAACAGACATGGTAAATGATAGGTCCTTTGGATCTATTAAATTTTTTATCATTACAAATTCAGTTTTACTATGTATTTAAAAAGAAGAAGTTAATACCGTAGCTTCAGTGCTATTGAGATAGGATCCCAGTTTTCATTTGCTAAATGTTTTTTTGAAAACAAATTTAAAAAAAAAAAATTTAAAGCTGAATTTATCAGTTTTTCTTCAGTTTGAATATTTTTAATGTATAGAAAACGGTATTTTTAACTTAAATTAAGTCAAACATATGTAAAATTCATAAATTATGAATGGATGTTGTTGATCTAATAAGACATAGAATTTTAATTAAACCTAATTTAATAGCAATTTCACTTCATGGAGCTAACTAAACATATTTGAATTCCTTTTTTTTTTTTTTTTTTTCCTGAAGCAAAGAGATTTGTGTTTAATGTTTGTAGTTAAAAAAAATACGTTGTTTGCTGCTTGGAGCCCTTTTTTAACATGAGACTAATACATCATGTTGTTGGTATTGCTGCTGTCAAAGAACAATTGACAACTTATTCTGCCAGCCTTTTTACTTCAGCTTTATTAAACATTATCATTTGAATAATCCCAAACCATAATGTCACCTCCACATGGGTACTTGCTTTACCTTTTTTTCTACCCTTAATGTTCTCAACACTTTTAAGCCCTCAGGGTTTTAGGAGCAAGATCTGCCTGAAATTGCATATCTGATTTAATCAAGTATAGCTCCATGCTATAAAGTAGAGAAGTAAAAAATACATATATTTGCATAACACTAAGTCATGAAAGAATACTTTAAGTGGAACCGCTGTTTAATGTGTCAAAATTTCTGATTTATAGGTGATCAAACTGAGAAGAATTCAATGTTTATCAGCCTCATCTTATTTTCTTTTAAAAATAAACACTGCAAAACACCATGAAACCCCCTTTCCAAATTTGTTTAAAGCCTCAGACTGTATAGTTTCACACCTTGACTCTAACTGCAGCAAACTTGCATAAATGTCGACTTAACTCTTGTGTTTTTTATGTGGTACAAAAATAAAGTGCATCTCCAAGTTAAATGATCTAAAAGTGGCTTGTTGGTTGCACATCTCAGTGTAGTTTAGAGGGAGACGGTAATAAAAATCATACTGATAGAATGTTAGTATTATTTCAGGATGCTGTGTGCCTTAGTTATAGACCAGGTCTCCCACGGAGATGATCATACGAACGTCAGAACGTTTAAAAGAAAAAAAATTCTTAATTTTATTACAAACTGAAAATATTAAGTCACGTGAGAAGTTAGTATTTCTGTCCCAAACCATGTTTGGGTTCATCTCTAGTCTCTAAAGAGTTGTTGGAAAAAATGTTTAGGATCTCTTTTTGTTAAAGTTAAGAATTTACATAATGTCTGAAGACAGGAAATATTATTACTTAATATAAGGCAATAATATGGAGTACAGTTCTTTTAAGGAAAGCTCTTATAAGCCAAACTGGGTGATTTTGACAAAAAAAAAAAAGAGTAAGGACATTTTGCCAAAGTTAAAACCATTCAGATTAGATGTATGTTTTGTTTTTGTTTTTGTTTTTTTGCCACAATTGACTATTTTGTTTAAAATTTCACTACTGTTAATGCCTTATACTTTGAATAGATTCATGAGGAAAAGGTTATTGTTTTTTTTTTTTCTGCACCCTCAATAATTTGTTCCATAAGAATCTGATTCAAGTTCTTAAAGTTTTCACACAATATTCATCCAAATCTGGCTTATCGAGGGGTATTCTTGATTGATTCTTATTCGTGTCGTCAAAGCATTGTGATGATTGTGATGATCAACCTGACATTTCTCTCTCTCAGAAGAGAATGAGCTATCCTGGGATACCTCTGACTGGGAATCAGGATGGGATAATGGAGACAATAAGGAGGAGGAGTCTACGTCTCTCTCAAAGGTCTGCATTACATCCAGGAAAAGCCGAAACATAGAAGATGTTTGAAACTTCAAAGGTTCCAAAGCATCTTCAGGTTTGCTGATATTTTGCTTCACCTTTAATCGCCGGCTGTCCTCTGTAGGCAGTGGAGGAGCCGCCGGGGCAGAGCCAACCCTGGCTGCAGGACTGCGTCGTTTCCTTGTCGCCCTGTGCCGACCTGCTGGTTGTCGCTCGAGAACAAAAAGCGGTCTTCCTCTCAGGTCGGAAATTAAAACCATCACACTCCCTTTTCTGATCATCTCTGTATTAGGAGCTCCGTATCAATTGCCAAGTATTTTATTTGTTGCAGCAAAGTGGCGGACAGATCAAAGTGGCAGAGAGGAGATGACCTTGGCTGTGTCCTGGAGTGGAACTCTCAGCACAGAAGAAGGGTGAGAAAGGGTCAAAACGCTGACTGTAGACGTGTTATTGATGTACGAATTGTTATTAATCTACAGATTAACGTCTTTCTCTCCAGAGAGAGTGTCAGCAGTGTGATCGCTATCCCCCTGGCCAGCCAGAAGAGGTGAGAATTACGTACCTCTGAGTAAAGAAGAAAATAGAAAAGGTCAAAAAATATAAAAACATACTTCTGGGCTGTAGGAGCTCCACCGGACGGCCTGACTGGACATGCATAGTTGTTGGATTCACGTCTGGATATGTCCGCTTCTACACAGAGGTATAATTAAATGAAGGTATTACTATCTCTAGTCACAGCCGGCCTGATTTAGAGTGTTTCTTCCCGTTATGTGCTCATATCAGAGTGGGGTTCTGCTCCTGGCCCAGCTGCTACATGTGGACCCTGTTCTAAGGCTCAAATGTCGCACCTATGAGATCCCTCGTCATCCTGGCGTGACTGAACAGGTGACTTCTATCCCTCACTCATCAACACAGCTCTTTCAGGGCTTTGATGTCATTCCTATAACTTATTATCTCCCTCTGCAGCACGAGGAGCTCAGCATCCTTTATCCTGCTGCTCTGGTCACCATCGACGGCTTCAGCCTCTTTCAGTCGCTGCGGGCCTGCAGGAACCAGGTGGCAAGAGGTACAGCTGCTTTCTGTCTGGTGCGCTGCAGCAGTGTGGCGTGCCTACGCATAACAGAGAGGTGTCTGACGTGGTGCAGCCTTAATTGTTACTCAGTATTAACTGTAGATGTGTTTTTCTCTTGCCGGCTGGGTGGATCTAGTTTTTGCTACAAGGCATTCAGGTACAACTAAGGCTTCTTTTAATTTTTTCCTTTTATTAAGGCTTCGTTTTATTTGTTTCACAGATTCTGTAGGCAAGTTTTATCAGCTTATTAGCGCTGTGAGATTAGCTACAGCAGCATTGGATTCAACCAATGTTAGTTACAACATATCATTATCTGCACTATAAGGAAATATTAGCCCAAATCTTTTATCTTGTTTCATCCCTGTCTTATAAAGATCTGCAGCTTTGATTTTAGCTTCAAATGCTCTGAAGACTGTGGCTTCTAGTAGCTGCAGGGCTGTTTAGGAAAAGCTCTTTAGTAGTAATGTCCTGTCCTGCCATGCATTTGAAAAAGGAGCTTGAGGTGTTTTTAAAAAAATATTATTTTAGATTTGCAGTTACATCATTTGGAAGATGTATGGGTATGTTCAATTGCTGAGGGGTAATTTATCTACTTGTAGGCCTGAAAGGGGTCATAGAATGATTCTATGGGGTCCTTAAGGTCTCTGAATAGGCTGTGGAACATAGGTTGGGCTGAAAATATAATATTTGCTGTTCTATGAGCCATAATGCAAGCTTGGTTAAAAGCCCTAGAATGAAATGACATCCATGTCAGCACACAGGTTGGAAGACTGACTTGTTCTTGCACCCTGATATACATCCCCGCTAAACTACCAGGGTGAAAGTCATCATTAGTATAGACCCAGCTCCCAGCCCAACTGTAAGAATAGATAAGAGTCTGGCATTAATGCATGGCGTTAACGTCGATAATGGCCCACTTTTTTTTTTTTTTTTTTTTCTGGCTGTAGCTGCAGCAGCCGGCAGCGATGTGGTCCCCCCTCCTCCTCTGGCCTACAAGAAGTGGGGTCTGCAGGAGATGGACACCATCGTGGACCACAGCAGCGCGGGTAAGACGTGACTCATAAACAGGATGAGGTGACTCAAACTCTGCCATTTTTTTCTCAGGATGGTTGTTCCTTTAAAATCTTATAGCTAACTTCTAAACAAACAAAAGAAAGTTTAAATATTTTTTTTCCAGTTAATTGCATTTTGACCCTTTTTAGCCCAAAACTTCAAAAGGTTTTTAGGTGATGGAAAAAAACAAAGTAATGCCAAAGTTTGAAACAAAGGGAATAATTTTAACTGTTTTTGTAGTTAATCATTTAGTTTATTTTGTTTTTTCTCAGTAAAAGGTCTCTAAAGTTTGATCTGTGTGGGTATCCACCCCTGGACTTTGTAGAACTACCTTTATTAAAAAGATGGCTTCAGGTGTTTCTCTGCCAGTTTTGTGTATCTAGAAACCACAAATATGCCTGTTTTCTCTTTTAAAATCCCTTAAATTCATATTGGATAAAGAGCATTTGTGGATACAAACTTTTCCAGATGTTCTTAATGTGTCCAGTCAAATGAAGTTTGATTGGACGATTCTATTATAAAGATCCGCTTTGATGTAAACAATGATGCTCTGGATGTTTGCTGTTTATCCTGCTGGATGCTGATCATCTTTCCTATAGTCTTTTGCTTCATCCATCAGGTTTTCCTACAGCTTGTCGTTTACTGCTGGCATTAAATCTGACCAGCTTCCATTGACCTATATCAGAGGTCACGGGTTAGCGGGCCGCGGTCCGGATCCGGACCCACCTGCTGGCTAATCCGGACCCAACCTGATTTAAAACATTTATAAATTACCGCATGATGTCCGACGACAATGTCTAACTTCACTTGAAGTTATTTAAAGGCTCTACTTTTAGACAGCATGGACAGATAAATCAGCCGGCCTAAATTTTTGGCCAAAATATGTATATATTTTCTTTTTTTTGTATCTGTATCAACTGATATTTCATGACAATTCCTGATCACATTCAGCAGCTTTCCTAGAAAACATCTGAGGCACAAGCATAGCTAATCCATCCTTTCTATCCATTGCTAATATTTGCCTTGATATTCTTTTTTTTTTAATCAACATTTGTGTAACATATGTAATATTTTTTATCATGAAAATGGAGGACACAAAAGCAGTAAAAAGCAGGCAAATATCTCCACGATTTTAATAGTTATTTTTAATACCTTAAAAAAACATCTGTAAAGCGTAGTCAACCCTTTTTTCTTTAATACTTGTTATTAGATTTATACTTAGTTGTATTGACTTTGCTTTACAGATTTTTTTAAGGTATTAAAAAAAATAATAATCATCATTTTTCCTCTCCCATTTTGAGTATTTTGCACTATTTTGAGCAAAATAGTGCACTTAAATCACAGATTGCTAAGTTTAAAAACATGTCAGATTTAGGTGACTTTAAACATGGCGGATAGGTCCCAGATGATGTCATTTCATTTGTGGAAAAGAGCAAAAGTTGAATAAAATGAGAGAATTAGTTCAGTTTCTACAGTAGAACGATTAAAGTAGTTAAATGTTATAACTTAACTGTTATTACATCTTTGGAAACCCCACATCACATAAAAAGTCACTTAGATCCACTATTATACTTCAGAAGGGTAGTTATCGTTCTGCTTAGATCACATCTCTGTCTTTGAAGCTTGTTTGCTTTCATTTACTTGCTGCTAACAATCTTTATAAAGTGAGAATTCAAGCTTTATTTCTCTCTTCCTCTTCTGTAATCATGAGATCCTAGTTAAACTTACCTAGTTTTATTTTTCTGTCCTCTGGCTGTAGGCGTAATGACCCTTTGTGTGTTTGACCAAATGAAGAATGCATCCATCCTGGGGGGGTTTCATGCATCTGTCAAGGGAAGCCCCCCTGCCATGAGCCAGTTTGTGACTGTAGGATCGGGGCCATACACAGGATTTTATTACGCAGTGGAGGTGAGAGGATAAAGTGTTTCTTTGGGTAAATAAAGTAAATATGTTTAAATGTGATCTGTTCTGCAGAAAGCTGCCTCTCTCTGTCTCTGCAGGGAAACTCTCAGCCTCTCCTGTCCCATGTGGCTCTGGCTGTGGCCAGCAAACTCACCTCAGCCCTCTTCAACGCTGCCAGGTTCAGATATGTTTGCTAACAACGTTTCCATCAAAGTTGATTTAAAAAAAAAGAATCCTGACGCAGTAAAATACAAAAGACCCACAAGGCAACAGAGTGGCTTTTTAATGTTCAAAAATCAAATTATATGATTATATCCATGATCCCGATCCATGTTACTATAATAACTGATGACATTACTTCTTTTTTTAACTGTATTAGGGCTGCAACTAATGATTATTTTACAGATCGATTCATCTGTTATATCTTCGATTAATCGTTTAATAATCGGATAACCAAAGGCTCCTTAATAAATATTTTTTTCATTAAATTAAACAAGATGAAGCTAAAATGTTTCCATTTGAGGAGTTCTAGTGGAGCATATTGACGGACAAAAAAGTTTTTTTTTAAATCTTAAATGCAAAATATTTACATATTTTCTTACATTTTGATATAATAACTGCCCTAAGTGGGTCGCTTTGTCAGCTAAAGGCATGGTTTACAGTCTCTATAATCCAGTTGATGGTTAATCGATTATTTCAATAATCGACCAATCACGATTAAGCCGATTAATTGCTTCAGCCTTAAACTGTATTACTTTTCTTAATGGTTTAAAGCTCAGTTTTGTTTTATTGTTTTCTTCCCTCCTGCTTCTGAATCTCAGTGGCTGGTTGGGTTGGAACAAGAACAAGAGTGAAGAGGAAGCCGCTCAGAAACAGAAACCTAAAGTGGAGCCTGCCACCCCCTTAGGGATCAGGTTGGTCTGACCAGGATTTCCGGATGCAGACGGGAGAAATTTCCTGCTGAGTCATATCAGAAAGCCTCTTCTTTATGCTTTAACCCAACCCCCTCTACTTCTAGATTCGGTCTGCCGGATTCCCGCCGCCACGGCGAATCGATCTGTCTGTCGCCTTGCAACACGCTCGCTGGAGTCACTGATGACTTTGGTCGAGTGGCGCTGCTGGACCTGGCAAGGGGCGTCACCATCCGCATGTGGAAAGGTGAAGGGAGAAAAAAAACCACCATGTTCTTCATTCCCACTTGGAGTGACGTTATCTCACCAAATGTTCCTCTCAAACTGTATGAACTTCAGGGTACAGAGACGCCCAGCTGGGCTGGCTGCAGGTTCAGGAGGAGCGTGGGGATCGGGAGTTCTCCCCCTCCGCTTCACTCCCCAGACGTCACGCTCTGTTCCTCATCATCTACGCCCCCCGTAGGGGGATCCTGGAGGTGTGGGCCATGCAGAGGGGCCCTCGTGTCGGTGCGTTCACTGTAGGCAAATATTGCAGGTACACCTTTACTCAAACCTCATCTAATCCAACATACAAACACAAAGCTGCAACTTTGCTTCATGTTTCAGTCGGCAAATACAGACAGTGCAATTTTTTTTAGACTCCTTTATGCGGGCTACCATCTGATGGGGGTGAACAGTGTGACCAGTCAGGGCTGGCAGCTGCACACGCAGCAGGTGTGTCTCCTGGATCCCACTACAGGAGCTCTGAGGACCATCAGCATCCCCTTCCATCTGGCCCTCAGGTTGGAACAAAGCAATCGTTCATCTCGTCTTTTTCATCAAATACTCTATGATAACGTATCTGTTTTTGGGGAATAAAATGATATAAATGATACTAAAAACCCTCTGTCGCTTTCACCTCTAAATCTCAGTGACAAAAAGAATGAGCGGGCTAAAGACATGCACCTGCTAAAGAGACTGAGCGCCGTGTTGAAGAGCAGAGACGTGGATCCTGGTAATGTACACCTAACTGATAGCTGAGCAGTGCAAAAAAGTAATTTTTTCTTAAAATAAGTGCATTTTTTCTTGAGTTGAAGAGGTAAGTGAGCGACTTTGCCAATGGAGTAAGACAATTTACACTTAAAACAAGAAAAAAATACTGCATTGTCTTATTTTAAGTGCAAATTATTTATTTTAAGAGTAAAAATATTCATTGATTAATTGGAAAATCATCTTATTTGCCTGCTGAAATTAAGATTAAATACACTTAATTTAAGAATTTTTTTAATTTTTTTAGTCCGACTAGTTTCTAAAGCTGTCAATGTTTCCTTGCTTTGCAGATGCTTTGGAGAGAGAAGCAAAAAGCGCTTTGTTAGAAATTAAACACCCGGCTATTAAGAAGCAGGTTTGAAAATAAAATCAAAGTTGTATGAATTTCACTTTATGGACGTTTTATCTTGACTCTGGATTTCCTTTAGGCTTTGGAGTCTCTGCTGTCAAACAAGAATGCTCCAGTTTCCTGTCTTACTAATGTTACCAGTGCCTTACATGATGCTTTGAAACAGCAAGGTAGCAGGTTTCTGTATAAAGGAAATATTCAGTCAATAAATTGTACAGTTTGAAGTGAATTATTTGAAATAAAACCAAGCTTGTGTTTCTTCGCCACAGATGCAGATGAAGTGGAGACATCGTTACTCCAGCTCTGCTCCTCTCATTTAAAACTGCTTCAGCTTTATACGGACATCCAGCAGCTGCAGTCTGCAGCAAACACTGATGCCTGCTCTCAAAATGTCTGTGAAAAAAATATTGTTTTTATTTATCCCGGAAACACGTGATCCTGTCCACTGACTTCTGTCGCTTCCCACTTAACAGGATTCCCTCGAAGGCTTAGAGGAGGAGTTGTCGCGTGTTGAGCCCACCTTGCAACGCTACGCACAGCTCAGCTCCAAACCCTCGGTTTCTTTCGCGCAGGACTCTCCTGACACGCCGCTGTCCGCTCAGGCTTTCCTCACTCAGCTGGAGGTCACCGAGGATGGACGGGTGAAGGTGAATCGTGGGTCTGACGCGGAATGGAACCAGTTAGGTATGAGTATAAATCACTAATCAACACACACCAGATCATGAAAGGCTGCATCAATAATGTCAGGATCTTTGATTTTAAATTTATTTTCCTTCTGAGTGAACTGAACACATAAAAACATTCTTGTTTACTATCGAGTTTCTAACCGGGTGTATATTACTATTGCTTTATCCATCCATTATTTTAAAGGGGAGATTATACTTCTGCAACCGCACACATAAAATATCGCTTTGATCTGGTTGCCGACCAGTTTTGCTGATATGCTTCTGCACCGTCGGTCTGGAATTTCTAGGGACGCACAGCAGTTTCCCACCAAAGCGCAAGGGGGAGCTTATTCAAGAACTCGCGAGAACTTCGGCGGATGGTAATAAGAACTTCGGCAGCGGCGGCGGGAGTGTTTATCTTCCAAAACAACAATGGCGCGTCTGCAAGATTTCACGGAGATTGATCTAGAGTCGCTAGACATCGAAGAGGAACAGGTTCTGTTAATGGAGTTGGCAAAAAGACAGATTAACCTTTCGTCGTAGTTGTCCATTCTACTTGTTCCTGTGTTTTTAAAAATGGTGAATCTAGAAGGACGACCACACAGACAGCCGGAAAGGCATACCAAGGACCAATCACAGCTGCTTTTTGTCTGCGCACTTCCGTTTGAGGTCTGCGCGGGTTCGCGACCGTCTGACGCGGAGTCAGGATTTTTTTTAGGTGCGCAATAATGTTGCAGAACCTCTGCGCGGGGGGCGTGGTCGTGCACAGACACAGATTTGACGGTTGCAGAGGTTATTCGTCAGAAGCATAAATTGGCCTGAAGTGTAAAAATTTTACTCTTTTCTTCTTCTTTTTTTTATCTGAGGGACTGATAACTTGAAATGTCCCCATTTAAAATATGACAGATCCTGTTTTAAATTATGTTAAATGTATTTAAGAACTGGGATCTGTTCAGAAAATTGGGAATAGTTTTTTTTTAATATATTATTATATTTATATATATATATATATATATATATATATATATATATATATATATATTCGTATCACTGCAGCATATACTGTTTTTTTTATTTCAACATGTGTTTATTTTCTTTGGACTGATGACAACAATAACTAGTGAGACTGAAAGTTTTATGCTCTGGTTAAGTTCAGTGTTTAGTCCTGTTTTTATACAGACAGTGTTTTTAAGTTTGCTGGATCTACCAAGTCCCGTCTTTAATCCTTCCCTTTGTCGTTGTGTGTTCTTCACAGGAAATTTTCTGTTTTGGGGCTGCTTATGTGGTAAAAGTCCCACCCATAAAGTCTGTGACACACTACAGCTGGCCGGCTTCAGCCCACAGCAGCTACTGGTACGATTGTGTCCGGCTGTGGTCGATGTTTGACTTTTACTTCCTTTAACTTTTAAAGGGTTTATTATTAAGATGCCTGTTGTTTTTTTTTTATGTTTTTTTTTTACACCCATAGTCTTTGTTAATGAGCGTATGGCTGCAAAGGGAGAAGGAGGTGCTACAGAAGCCTGTAGATACAGTCAAACAGCTTTACACGCTGCTCATTGCCCTGAGCAACATGGAAGGTGTGTATCCTTAACAGTGAGTCATTGGAGTTAGCTTAACAAAACTTGTTAAGCCAAATATTCCTTTCCTCTTTTTTTAGGGGCTGTTGAGGAGTCTTGGGATCCACAGTCTGTCTCCCCCTGGTGGCAGCAGGTTCGATTAACATGCATCCAGTCTCACAATGCTGCTGCTGCTTTACTGGCTGCCTTAGTGGCTCACTGTGCTGCCAAGGCGAGCATCACAAGCAGGGCTGACAGCAAGGTAGAGCGTCTCCCCGCTAACGTGGAAGCTATCAGTCAGGTAACGAGCGCTGAAATACCAACTCTGCGTTTCTCTGCTGTGTTCCAGCTGCAGTCAGAGTGGGAGGCGGTGTCGATGGAGCTGGAGCAGTGGGTGGTGTGCGTCCGTCAGCTGGAGGACGTGCTGGTCCTGCAAGCTCTTCTGTTGGTGCCTTCTCCTCAAGGAACAGCAGGCGGCGCTGTAGTTCAGTGTTCAATCAAAACACTGCTGGAGGGAGGCACAGGTCAGACATAATGCTGGTGATTTAGGCTTTTTCTAGGGAGATTTTTTTTTGTTTTGTTTTCGCTTAGTGCTACATCCTTAAATTCCCAGACCAGATAAAAATAATATATCTGTGTGTTTAGCAGCTTGTATTTCTAAATTCTGCATTTCCCCTTTTTTTATATCATATTGTGGGTTTCTCTCTTTCTCTTATCTGGATAGGTGGTATTGCAGACAGTGTTTCTAAGTGGGTGTTCAGGCAGAACATCACGCCAGAGCGACTGAAGGAAATTCTGCTGAGTAAAGAAACTGAAGACGAAAAGAAGCAGAAAGGGGATGGAGGAGGAGCTGAAGAGAAGAGGAGCCATGAGGAGGCAGACAGGACAGCAGGTGACAACAAAGAGACCTTAATCAGTTTTAGCTGCTATCAATAGAGATCATCACTTTCTGACCGCTTTCTTTGTTGTCTTTTCTTTCTCTTAGAGCTGTTGTTGGCAGTTTGTCAAAGGTTCCCAGATTCTTTGTCTCCAGACCTTCTCTTCGCCCACTGCAGCTGGGAGTATGTAGTGCAGTGGAATAAAGACCCAGAGGTACGCAAATGCTCTCTAACAGTTCAGATTTCACTGTGGAAGTGAAATGAATCGCAGCCGTATGTCTGAAATATACAGCATTATAAAGAGATTTAAAAAAAATGAAAAACCTCTCTATGGGATCAACTTATCAATTACTAAAGTCGTCTTACTAAATCCACTCAGACAGAACAAAAAACTGGACTTTAGGGTCGTTTCCCCACATTAGTTATGTCTGAATAAAACATGTTTGAATAGGATCTCTGTCCTGTGCTTTGAATGACCTGATTTCATCGATGATGGTTGCTATATAGAAAATGTAGTTGTGTGTTTGTGATCCCCTTTTGGGCCTTTATGCATGATCCTCCATTTAAACACATTTGATAATCCTTCAGATCCGTGGTTCTCAACTTTTTTTGACCTGTGTACCCCTTTGGGTATTTTATCTTACCATGAGTTAAACTAGTGATGACTCCCCAAAAGTGGAATGTACAATAACTGATTATAAAATAAAAAGTATTTAATTTAATCTTATTAACTTAATTATTTCATTATTTAGCAACTTTATTCTTTCAAACTCAAATAAAAAAACTGCATTTTGCCCAGAAGTTAGTAAGGACTTTATAAAACTGGAGCTCCTCTGAGTAACTTCCCAGTAATCACATAAAAACTGAAGGAATTGAGGAAAAAATACCAAACCAAAATGAATGGCAGACTCCATTTGTTTTACTTGGTTTTCACCATTCATGACACCTGAGCTGCTTTGATGAGCTCTGATGTGGAAAACAGCTGTTTTTTCCACATCCAGTCTGTTCTTCTGCTTGTGTCAAAGCTGGAGGTGAATTTAAACATGGAAGACAAACATATTTTTGGTTTGAAAAAAAAGCTTGTTTTATTTTGGGTCCTCACAAAGTAGAACAGATCCCAGCC